CTAGAGACTTGGATTATGGTGCCCTGAATCTCTTCCTCGGCAACGCAAATTAGCTTCTAATGCCCTCTTACAGATATTAAGAGGGATATATCCAAGATCATATATCCCTACATTTTCTCATCATTTGTAGACTATGCTTCATCTTTCAGTGTCCTTGTCCTTTAACTTAACAGCTCTGTCATGATACTCAGAGAAAGACAAAGACGATAATTTCGATGTGTGTGTATTCAAAAATTTAAAAGTTTTACCCAAGGAATTTTAATTATTCATACTTTTATCAGGTTATTTCTGTTCTGTCATGGAAAGATCAATTAAATTAGAAAATATGTGTCTTGAATCAGTTGGCAGTGTTTTTAGTTCATTATTTCACACTTTTAAAACCCAAACAAAATAGCTTCTTAGGCAAATAAATCCAAATATTTTCAATGACTGGACTTTAATATTCTATGAATTTATCTCACAGAAAAATTATACATGCACACATACACACACACACACACAGTCTTTCTCATTCTCATTAAAACTCTTAATGTTTACCTTCAAGCATTAAGTAGGCATTATCATATGTTCCACAGCTGAAATTCTTTAAAACTTGCATAATAGCTTCACAGTCAAAGCAATTATCTCTATCACTGCCTAACTGGGCAACTTGTTCTCCAGAGCTAAATTAATAGATATCATTTAATGGTCAGAGCTATTTCTAACCTTTCCATGACTCTAGGGCACTGAAACTGTTTGTTCAATCTACTGCACTTACATAAAAAGCTGCTGCTAACAGCTTGGATTTAGCATCAATTTTTGATAACAGAAGGTCTTTCACAGCAGGGTCAGCACACTCGGTGTGGTGCAGTACAATGACAACAAGATCTGTCAATATTATGAAAATGCAACTCAGCACACTGATGTTAAAAAATGAGCAGCTAAGCTTTCTTATGGATTTATACACTGTACCTTCATTCATGCTATCACATATTTTTGAGCAGAAAAGAATGTATTATAAAATAAATAGAAAAAAAATGAATCATGAAAACTGATTCAAATACCTGAAGAGGCAATCCAAGTCAAACAAACTAGAACACATAAAACAAAATAATTTAAAATTTAAGTTTTATGTATGTAAAAACTTGAGTGTATTTATTCCTGAAAGTAAACATTTCCATAAATAAAAATAATTCATGGTACATATACCTTCTTGAAATTTTTTACTTTATGGTGAATGTATATACTAAAATATTTTAACTCAAAAAAGTAATAAGGATATTTCAACTCAGAACACAGTATGATAAACTAGATACAGTATTGGTGAAAAGCCTAGCTGTACATTTTATTAGTGTTGTGAGAGGATTTCGATAATATTGGCAGTCATTTTTGCTACTGTTCTGCATATGAAGGAAGCTGACTCCTCTGAGAAAGATGATTATAGTGAGTATTGTAGTAAATCATTTTTATATTGTGATTTGTTCTAAAATGTTATCTTACTTGGAACAGGTTCTGTATTGCAGCAATATGTGTTGATCTCACATCTACTAGTAATAAACAGGTTTTTAAAATATTTAAAAATGTCCTCTGGTCTGTATTCTGGTATTGAAGAAATTATAATTATTAGTGTTACCAGCTGTATAAAAATTGTAAAAATAACAGGCAATGTGTCATCTATAAAAGTATATTTAAATTTACTTTGGAAACAAAATCTTGGGATACAAATTTATTTTCTAAGTTCTTAATTTCTCAAAAAAAGTGCTCTAAAAAAACATGAATTAAAATATACCACTGCATATCACAACATAACTAGCTACTTCCAATACTATCTGAATTCTAACAGAAGGCAGAAGTTCAACAGAAGCTTTTTAAAAAAGTTATTTAAAAGATATTTAGGTCTAGAAGGAACTTGGTGAACCATAAACAAAAATGTGGCTTTTCTTGGTCTTTATAAATTGAATCCCGGTGTTGAACTCTATTTTCTCATATCTCTCTCTCCTTATTTTATTCAGCTTCCCCAGACTCTTCTGTTTGGTGACAACTAAGGCTTTAATATTGCTGATCTGCAGATGAAACTGCCAGAAGCAATTCTGTTAATGGATCTTCTAAAAGTGGTTTAGTAAAAAAACAATGTTTGTAAACGTTCTTTTTGGTTAACTAAATAATCAACTAAATAATAACTAAATATTAGAACAGAAATTTTAAAGCAAATGACAAAATATAACTCTCTTTTACAGAGTCACTGCATTAACATGTGTATTTCTTTCCATTAAAAAAGTTAAAAAAAAAAAAAAAGGTATATCCAGTAACTACAAGAAGTATACACTGAACTTTTCCTTGATTCTTCTTGGTGTGAACTTCAAATGTCCTTTCCATTATCTGAACAGTGTACTGTCAGTAATATTAGTTCTGAGAAGACTTTTAAAATCTTCAAAGACAACATCTTCTTATTTTCATGACAATCAAACAAGCTTATAAATTTTTCAACACATAATAGAGTGTCAGGTAGCTTAATTGATTTAGTGGTTTCTTAAAATAAATAATTGCTCAGAAATTGTCATATTTGCATCTTCATCATAGCCTTATAAATGTCATTAGATAATGGAAACAGAAAATCCATTAGTATATATTTAGCTAGCAGTTCTGAATGCTGTGCAATATATTTTAAAATATCTATTTGATTGAATTAGGATTGTTTTGTCCCAGTATGTTGGAATTACATTTAAAGCTATGATGGATGGTGAGCTCTCACATAAAGTCACTTTTCATTGTAAAACCATAATGATTATAATCAAAATCAATTTCAAGGGTTCCAAGCCCTTCAGGATGACCACACTGGCCAAAATAATAGAAAATTAAAATGATTTAAAATCCATTTTAGCCCTGTGTATCTTAAATATTATACTTTATCACATTATGTAAATTACATATATTTGCAGCAGAGTCTAGTTTAACAGCCTCTTATGTCCTCATGCAAGTGATGAGTGACATACTATCCACTTTGTAATGAGTGCATAAAATGATGATTTTGTAGGCAAACATTCCCATCCTGCTGGCAGATGGTATAAAGGCTGTTGAAGAACCTTTTCAAAGCAAGTTGAAATAGTCTGATAATGAATAAATAGCAGATGCTGTCATTATGGTTTTTAGAATACACACAAAATACATTCTAAGATAGATTCTATTGAAAGCAAACTTTAGCCAAATTTGTACTAGCATATTTATTTTTAATTTAATCTTCTCACTACTTCAGATGGATCAGAACTATCAAATACTGCTATAATTATCTCAGATGGTATCCTCAAATGACTTCCTACCTACATTTATCTATTTTGATTATGATCATACAAAAGCATATAGTATTTTTCAATACATATCTTTAATAAAAATATGTTGTACACTAAAATATAGCTGCAATTCTGACTTTCAATTTAATTCCCCCTTTTTCTCTGAAAATAAAAATTTAAAGCCTTAAGGGTTTATTAGTTTATTCTCAATTTTTAAATTATTAGATAGAGAACATTCTTGCAAGAATCCTAGAAAGAATTTATCTTTATACTTTTATTCAGATATGGACTAATTATTCCCATTGTGATAATGTGAATTTTGTCCTTTGGTTCAGTTTTGTTGTTGTCATTTTTTGACCACTTGCTCTATGACTTTCTATTTTATTTTATTTTATTTATTTATTTTGAGACAGGGTCTGAGTCTGTCACCCAGGCTGGGGTGAAGTGGTGAAATCTCAGCTCACTACAACCTCTTCCTCCTGGGCTCAAGTGATCCTCCCACCTCAGTCCCCCAAGTAGCTAGTGCCACATGTGCATGCCACCATGCCAGGCTAATTATTTGTATTCTTTGCAGAGACATGGTTTTACCATGTTACAGCCCAGGCTGGTCTTGAACTTCAGAGTTCAAGCAATCCACCCACCTTGGCCTCCCAAAGTGCTTGGATTACAGGTGTGAGTCATCAAACCTGTCCTTTGACTTTCATTTATTTTAATTCTGTAAAATAAAATTTATCCTTTGGCTTTCTTCATTTTTAATTTACCTTGAACCTCTAAAGTTGTTAACACAGTTCAAAATTTGGTGATAAATATTGAGAACCCCTGGGTAGGGAAAATAATGTTCAGTTTATAACATGCCAGTGAAGAAACATTATAAATACTTTGCCATGAGTGTGGCTGAAATGATTTTAGGAGAGTTTTATAATCATATACTATCTGTTGAACAAGCAAAGAAATAATGTGTTTTTTTAAAACATTTGAAAGGCAGTTTTTCTCAGCTAGTGTATAATTTCGATCAAGCTGTAATGATATACTTGGAGGAATTCACTGTTTTAGTTGAGACTTGTATGCTGTATTTAAAACTATATTCCAAGCATTGCCATAAGTTTCAAATTTCAGTTCACTGTGTCTGGAGTGGGAATATGGTAGAAATTTTAAAAGTCTCATGAGTTTTTGTCAGTTACGTTATAAAGAAGGCTCTACCTAAGAGAATCTTTTCTTTTGTATTATCCCTGAAAATAAGAAGCTACTTTGTAGTATTTACTATCCAAAGCTTCCTTTTTCTACAAGAAAACTTTCCTTCTTTTCTTTCATGCTAATAGTTGTCTTCCTCACTTTCATTATGATGTTTAAAAAAAGAGAAGTGAATAGTATTTATTTGTTTACTATCTCTAGCATATTTTAAACGGTTTAGATGAAAAGCACATTGTATGTAAATATTCTATTTGTCACTGTGTCTGATGTAATTTACATTAAAAGTACTGCAGTATACATAGTGGGAAATATGTATAAGTAAATTATTTTAATCCATATTCCAGGCTCAGTTATTTCATGTTAATTATTTTGAGCATAAATATATGGTCCACTTGTTGTTAGCTTTTGAAACAAATCACGGTAATCAGACCAAAGGTGATTATTTAAGCATTGTAAAAATAATTATCCAAAACTTTCCTGTAGCATTACATAACATTGTTGAGCCTAGAAATAATTATTCTTTAACAAATGGGTTTGGTCTAGTGGAGATGTTCCAATTTCTACCAAAGCAATGCTGTTATGTCTGCAGTAGACAGTTTGTGTGGAGGTCCAGGGGCCCAGCCAGGTACTCTATTTCTAAATTCCTTTTCTCTTTGCTGTGGTCTTCTGACTTATTTTTAGTAGGGGAAGGTTAAAAGAACAAACATGTATTTTTTTGTCTGTGTGTACCAGAGGTACATTTTAAGAAGTGCTTTCACATTCTACAACTTTTCTTTTTCCTCTTCTAATTGATGGGTTTACAAAGTAGGTCTATATTCTTCTTTCTCTTTTCTCTTCTGATGTGCAGGAGTAGATGATAAGATGATCTGTACAGCTTAAAAAAGCCACAGATTTAACAAGCATGGAGGCACTTCCTAACTCTCTTGTGTAGGCCCATCATCCTTTCTTGAATGAGTTATATTAATTAAGTAAATCCAGCTGCCAAATACTTTCAGGATATCATGTGAGCATGAATATTCCATGACATCTCTGTTTTCCACCATCACAAATGCCTTCTGAATAACTCTGTCCATAAACATCTATAATCAGAATCAAGACATCAGACTTGTTTCTGTTGTGGAGGAATGTGACTTTCCAGGGACTTCTAGTCCTAATTGCAGAGAAAGTGATTTCATCAAGAGAAGTTTATTGCTGTTGTTTTTTATTGCATACTCATAAGTGTTTAAACATACAAAACATAGTCCAAAGACTGGATTTTATTTAAATATTTTTCCTGGTGAAAAATTACTAGAAAAAAATTGGTGTATAGCTTTTGTGTACATGTTAATAGAATAGGTTAATTATAGATATCAAAATAATAAAACAATTGAAGAATTAATTTAGGTAAATTCAAAGTAAAATTTTATAAATGTGGGCATGAACAAAAATACTAACTCAGTATAACTTGAGGCTGAGAAAGAAGCAGCCATGCTAGAGCACTGCGTAGTTTTTAGTTTTTTATTTCCATTAAAAGTATATTAATAATTTCCCAATTTTTAAATAAGTTGCTTAGATTGCAGTTTCTACAATTGCAGAAATGCATTTGGAAGTGCTATAAATAAAAGTTTGGCTTTTATTTATAAAAAAAATGTAAAGGTTTTTACATTCCTTTTGAAAATGTTTAATTTTGACCGTTAATTTTATTTATTTATTTGTTTATTTATTTATTTTTTGCTTCCTGTTCTGGCAGGTTTGCCCTTTTAAGTGATAGTTTTTAAACTCCTTTTAGTAAATTTTGTTTGGTAAATTGCCTTGAAAAACATACAAACAGAAAAAGATATGGAAAAGTTTTAATAATACAGTGACATTCTATTTTCATTATGATATTTTTATTCTGAGACAAAAAGGGAGGACAAATTAGAATGGTTTAATGATCTCAACTCCAATTCTCAAAATACCCTTCATTAATCTTTGATACATTTATCCCAATAGGCTTACAAACAATTATTCACTCTGAATTACAGAGCAATCAGTTACTTATTCTTTAGATCTCTTTATATTCCTGCCTTCCTTCAAAAATTCCCTGGTTGCAAAAAAACAAACAAACAAACAAACAAAAAAAAAAACTATATACATTTTAGATTAATAAAAGATACAAAGCAGAAGTAGCTTATTTGCAAGTAATCCATGTGTGCTGTTTACATTTAGATTGCTTTTTAACTTTTCTCATTAGATAACTCTACAGCTTTAATCCATGGAGTAAGATTAAGTTAAAATAGTTCAGAGTTTGCTCCAGCCTAGTATTAGAGCTTTAATGTTTTTATGTCTTTTAGAAAGGGTTAAATGTAAACATTAGGAATGTATTTTGGCTCAATAATCCCGAGATGATAAAAGAGAGAGATAAGGGGAAAGAGAAAATAAAGGTGAACAGGATAAATGACTTTCTCCTAAATTTAATAGTTGTTTGCTTTTTTTTCTTAAAATTATTCTTTGAAAGTGAATGTCAATTAAACAGTGGGAAGTTTTCTGCTCAATAATCTTTATTTTAAAGAGTGAAGAGAGCTGATAGTTGTAAATGGTAAATTGTAATATAAAAAGTAGAAAATAATATAATTTTTTAAAAAATATATATATTTGAGGTAAGTAAGGAAGATGATTGCTCCAAGTGCAGACAAAACCAGATAAATGATAACCTTTAATCACTAGATATTACCAACCAGGAGAGAAAAGAAATGAGCAATTTATTTTAGCCTTTGGTTTATCCTCATTTACCATTATCTCATTGAGGGGGAAAAATAAATCTATAAAACTTTTTTTTCCAGTTCTTTTCTGAGTTAAAATCCTCTAATGCCATGTCTATTTTAAAACTTTAATCTACATGGTAAAAGGTATAAACTATATCTTCAGAAAATTGTATTATCTTATCATGATCGTAAGTGTTCTTCTTTCTCCATTCCATATAGTTTAAAATTATTTTGTTGGTTTGTGTGAAATAATGGCATCAAATATATAACATGGCAGGATGCCATTGTATTACTTTCTTTTTTGAAAATCATAATTAAAAATCATAATTTCTTAAATGCAACAAAACATGTACATTATCAGCGACAACCAATATTGCACATTTTCTATAAAGAATCATATGGATCAAATCTACAGAAACAATGTTATCATGACCTTGAAGTGCAATGCAGGCCTATCATCTTCTAAGATACTGTCTGATGTTCCAGTCCATATCTCTGAGTTAGCTAAATATGTTCCGATGCAGTTCAGAATTCATTGTTTCATAGATAGGGTGAATACTGTACCTTTCACTCCATTAGCAACTGCCAGATTCATTTTGGATTTGACATTCCCTATCTAATTTGACACCAAATAGCTAATCTCTTTACCCTTTAAATTTCTGATGTGTCATATTGCATTACATTTCTTCTGTCACCTTCCATCACTGTATATTTTGTCGCATAGAAAAGCCAATGTGATATGACATAACACAAGATGATGGAATCCAAGAGACGTAAAGCAATGCTAGTCAGTGGAGCAGAAATGTGACACATTGCTTCAAATGTGCAAATACTCACTTTCTGAAAAGTAGATATCTGCTAAAAGCAGGTATGTAGGGTGATCCATAATAGTTACGGAAAAGATATGAATTTTACCTTTTAGTGACAAATTTAAACATTGTGCTGCCTTATATAAATAACAGAAAAATTGATTCAAAGTGACAATGGCCAGAGAAAAATTAGTTTGGTTTTCTTCTATTCTGTGTGGTAAGTAAGCATTCTCCTAAACTTACTAAATAATCCACCAAAATGTCTCTCACAGTTTTCTCACTTTATTTTGGATGAAATCGTAAATAACTTGCATAAATTTATTTATGACCAAACAAAAATTGTCTTTTACATTGTAATATCTAGAATAATAATAATAGTAATAAAATACACTGAAAAGAAATAAATTTTCACAGTGCTCAAGTACCTTTTTTTTTCTCATTGTGAATTTATGTGTTTTTATAATACCAGGTTATAAATTGGTGCAAGGTCAGTAATATCCATGAGATACATATAATCTAGCAGCTCATATACAACCCAGAAGCACCTTGGAGGCCATGATTCTACCTCTTTGCACACAGATTATTTGCACTGATTATTTTTCAGTTTTTTGAATTGGGCTTTCACAGTGAATCTATGGATACATGCCATGAACAAAGGCTAGCATAGAATAGAGAGAAATACTTTACAATTCAGAAGCAAGGGTAAGGTTAATATCTATGGTTAACATACATTTTTAATATCAAATGCACTGTATCTGAGTGCACGTTCTATAACTGAAGAATCCCATATACAATTAGTTTGGTGGGTCATAAAGCCACTATTTCACTAAAGTGAGTATTACATTTAAAAACGTATTCACTATTTACTTGGAAGCTCAAATACTACCAGTAAGTGTGAATACAAGAGTATGAATTAGAGTAGATCAATCTGATTACTCAATCAAAATTGAGCCAAACAAGAAGCTAACAAAAGAATGAATACATGGATTATCTTGGAGGATAGTGATGACATCAAAATCTAATTTTTATTAGTAGCTATGGCAGAAGCATTGGAAATTGTGCTGGCAGCCTGACCAGTTTCACATATGGCACAGTTTCACATATGGCTCTAGAGCAAATTCTGAGCACATTGTTCAAAGGCTGTGGCAGTGTGGTCTTTGCCTGACAGATCATGGTAAAATAGCTACTGAGAGGTCTAGCTCCCCATGTCTTTCCCTTCTTTCTTATCCTGTTTCTTCAGACTTGTGTTAAATATTCTGAGCTACTCAATATACTTTCTATGTATTTCCTTTCAGTTTAATTTCAGCAATTTTTTTTCATTGTTTAATTCTAACAATCCTGACAAATACAAAGCTGTAATATATTTTTAAAATTTGCAACTTGGAATCAAAAATGGACAAAAAAATTAAATAGCTACTTCTAAAGAGTACAAATTCTAATGGATATAAACAAATAAAACCAACTTTCCTATTGTTTTGCAAAGTGTGAATTACATTAATGTAGAGATATCGTTTCACTTGGACTTTTGACTTTTTTGATAATATTGAACATATGTATTTCTTAAAAAGACAACACACTTTTAACTTGCCAGTTTTCTTAGGATTCTCACTCATAGAAATAAATGCATCACCATATAAAGGTAAATACATGAGAAAGGATGTTTGGTGAAATGCTATTTGTATTATGAAAAATCTTAAAGAGTAAGCACCAATCAAGGGGAAATTCTGAACAAATTGTTTACATCAATTATGTGAAATAATCTGTAAACTCTAAATGAATGTGTTAAATTCATTCCAGGTAAATGGATACATTTAATTTTGAGATTTTCAAAAGAAGCAAAATGACTAACAGTATGGCAACGTGGTCTAAATATAAAAAATATATATATTTATGTTTAATTGTAAATATGTACATCTATATTTATACTTACATTTGATTAGTTTGTATTTTTTATACATGTACAACTAGATTAATATAAAAACACATTATTATATAAATATTATTATTCAAAATCAAAAGGAAATATCACAACATTTACATGGAATGCTATGCAGCCATAAAAGAGAACAAAATATGTCCTTTGTAGTGTCACG